TAGCTCTTGGTACATAACAGCAATATTGATAAAGGTAGCTGCAACGTCCGGATGATCACATCCACACGAAATATTAAGCAGCAGAAGCGTCCGGGCCATGTGTCTTAACGCCGAATCGGTCTGGTTCAGTCCATGATAAAACAACGCCATGTTGCCATAGCTGTAAAAAGATAGACAACAACAAGGCACAATCAAAAGAAAGGTTTTTAAGAGAAAAAGTCATACCTGTGTGCAGTATCTGGATGATCACAGCCAAGGCAACGCTCATTAATTATGAGCTCTTTATGTTGTTGCATAATCGCTCCTCCCATGTCACCGGTATGATATAGAACCATCGCCAAATACCTGAGTGTGCCGCAGAATGAAAAAAAATACAGAAAAAAAACATTGCATCAATACCTGCAACAATTTGCCACCTCCCTATGCATTGGGCCAGAAACCTGCATCGATTAAGAGAATGAGATCTCGTTAAAGAGAAAGAAGAAAGAACACCTGTTGCAAGATGAAGAAAGCCTCGGAGAAATGCTCGTATGCCTCGGGAACTTTGCCCTGATACGCACGCAGTAAGTCAATCCTCTAGATGCGCAACTTAGCTTACTTGGGCAAACAGAAGCTTGCCATTCTCCATAAGCTCTTGAGCATCTGCGCAAACTGGAGCAGCGTGTTTCACGACCGCCTGGAGGTCGAGTATGTCCATTTGTTCAAATGGGGTGGCTGACTCAAGATTATACGCCCTTGCAGCCAAAGTTATTCCAACCTGAAGTCGCCATTAAGACAATTGTGCAAAAATTAGAAGGTGTTACCTTTAGGCAGATATTCCTAACAGCTGAAATCTTGCGAATGATGGCTTTGAAGTCATCTGCAAAATCAAACTGCAGGGCGGTAGAAATAAATACATGAAAAAACTAACACAAATAGAAAGCTTCACCTGGTATTTAAAGTGAACGCTCTCCTTGATATCGATCCATACAAGCTCGGAAGTGATACACGCATAAAATGGCTGCTTGTTGGCCTGCAGGCTACTGTAAGCAACGAACACATCCATTCCATACATTTACCTCGTCAGAGACAACAGCATTGGGTGATGAATGACCACCTTTCTTCTTCTTTCCCGGGGACGTCTTTGTTGGAGTTACCTTCGGACTGGCAGATTGCACACTACCGAAGAGACAGTTCAGAAAATGAGCAACGCATCCTCCAACATCCTGGTCAAGTGTTTCTCTTAGAATACCCTGCACATAGCCAAGATAAGCGCATTATGAACCAGCTTCGCATAAAAACTGCTTGAACAGAACCTTTAAAACGTGTTTCGCTGACCGAACAACCATTTCGACAACGCAAAGCTCGTATATATGTGGCATATGGTTCGCTAGCTGAGCCACCTAGAAGAATGCAGCAAAACAGAGGTCAAAACAGAACTTTCAAATAATAAAATCCGAGTACCTTGCCAAGGTATCTAATATTGATGCCATGGGCGTGTAATGCTTCTGTTAAAGTTTGCCCATCCATAGGTGAAACTTCCAGGCTACTAAGGTCCTGAATAAATTTCTTGAGTACGACGTTCGTTAAGTAATCCCCAGCTTTTCTAACTAACTCTTCATCCGCAGCTTTTTCCTGGAACACGGAGAACCATTATGACAACCTAGGAGAACTGAGACGACAGGATCTACCTCGGGCTCTCCGGCAACAGTGAAATCCGTAAAGACGTTAGGATTAAACAAAATCGTTGGGATGCTTTTATCATCCCTCTCCGTTTGTGACTCGGCCTACAAAGCATTTCACGTCAGTGTTGAAATATATTACGAGATCGTATACCTGACAAAATGCAGCGATTAGCTCAGGTCTCAAAACGGATAGACGAGATCCTGGTCCAGTGTAGTTTACATCCCTTGGAAACGTCCTCATCAAATCAAGTATGTAGTATCTGCCCAACGGAAAGGAACGTTCGTTACTACGGGGTTTTAACTCAGACTAACCAGCACCTATTATCACTTCCGACGATTCCCTTGCACTCAACGGGTGCACACAACTTCACTTTTCCACCAGATCCATCCAGCACTTCGTGCTCTTTGATGTGCAGTAGCTTTCCAGCTTCAACAACCTGACAACTTAGAGTTTAGAGGGTGATAGGAAAGCAAAAGAGAAAAGAACCTTCGTATGAAACTTCTCGTTCCACGAAATCTTTTTGCCGTTATCCAGGGAGCCATACAACAACGATTCGGATTTATCCCCTTGAAGAATACCAGGAATTATACTCTGAAAGGGAGGGAAACGTGAAGCGATCATAAATTCTACATAACTGAAACGTACCTGAGCAACTACCCGATGCCCTCTGTAATCGACTATAGCCATTGCAAGCGTATACAACCCCGCGACATCAGCATTGTTATACGCTTTTGTGCCTTTCAAGTCATTGTTGGCAGACGAATATGTAGCCTGCTCTCCCTCCATAGCATTAGTTGGGTCATCCTTCACTTCTGCAGAGTTTTTCTTCTCGCCTATAGATTGATCACGTTCGGTGTTCAAAGACGGTTCTATTGACTCTGCAAGCTTCGGCTCCTTTTCTGGTTGTTTCTCTTCTGGTTGTTTGTCATCTGGCTGTTTCTCACAGTCCGTCGTGTTTTGAGCTTCTTGCTCTCTATTTTGCTGCATGAGGAGAAAATCTCCATCAAGAGCAAAACTAAAAAAAATATTGTTGTGCACGTACCTATGGTAACAAGAACAATTAGCAAATAAGACACAAAACTTATCTTACATTTGAAAGCGATCTGGATCCGTGGGGTTAATAGGAGGAATGCATCGACCTATGACCGCCTTCGCGCCCTTGATCGCAGCATCTACAAAATCACAATTGACTTTGTATAGTGCTCTATCTCGCATCAGCCTGTATAAAAAAGCTTTTAACCTGTTAAGTAGAAAGAAGAGAAATAAAAACATCTATACCTGTCCTGAGGAGTTTCTCGAGGGAAGTCCCTGCATGACTGAAGCTCTTCGTTCCAGTCCCTTTGTAAGCCAAATACCTCGGATCCATAGGACGACATTAGAGCGTCCTCAGCCCGTGAAATGTCTCTTTTGTGTGCTAAGAACACGAATTAAAAAATAAGGCTCAATTAGCAGGAGTAAAGTTAAGACTTACGCGAGGGGGGATAACTCCCTAGCCAATGATTCGGCGGGTGTAACACCGGAACGTTTTCAAAAGGGTGGCCTGCTCCCTTCCGCTTCAAAACCTCTGAAAAACCTGTAAAACCATTTCATTTAGATAAGAAAAATTGAAGGAATAAAATTAAAAAACTCAACCTTTTGTAAAAGCAGGACTCAGCTGGTGAAGAAGTCCCACAAGCGTGGTCCCGTCGTGCCCAGCTTTCAAGGGGTGTGGGTTCAGAACATCGCTCTTACTAGAGTTCACAAAAAACCCCTGGCAGTGAGCCGTCACGCAGTAATTCTTTCCTTCCAATGTCGAGATATCCAGATATAGTAGATCTCCAACAAGCCTTTAAGCAAACGTCCATCACCAAGACAACATTATAACCAGGCTTACCTTCGGTAACCAGGAACCGGGTTAAACGAGGAAAAAGAAATACTTTGGATGCATTTGACATCGGGTACGTCGGGACTAGAAACCAAATCTTTCAGCATCTTGCTAGGCTCGTCCATGAGTCCCAGCGCTTCCAGCTCGGTAATCTCTTGTCTGACTGTGGTAAGAAACTATGAGATAAAACAAAATGGTACTTATGGAGAAATAAAATACCTTCTTTTTCTTTCTCGTTTTTCGTCTTCTCTGCGCAAGCTAAGAACGATTAGTAAGAGTACTTAAAGGTTTGACACTTCACGAACCAGAAGCTTCCTGTTTCCTTTCGAACTCCATGGCCAATGCAGTTGACACAGAAAAGTAGATGTTTGATGTCGAAATCAGATCGCGTGTACGACGTACATGGACTCTCACAGACCTATCATCGTACGCAGCTAGACAAAGGAAAGGTCGTCTTAGTCTTGGCTGAATAACAAAAAGAAAACGCACGTACCATTGACCATCTCCAGCGAGAAACCTCCAACGGTGATATCCGCTACTTCACCTATCTCTAGAAACTCGGCTAGCTGATACTTTGCCCCGTTGGGGCCATGTAGTATAAGATCGTAGCAGGTGTAGAAGCAGCTTTCAATCGAATCCAACAAAAACTGCCTCAAGTCCATTACCGAATCATTGGGACTTATCTAGAAGAAAGAAAATGGAAAGAGTTTCGTTTCCAGTTCCACAGAATGTTTAATCAAACGAATACCTGGAGTTCAATCTGTTCCCCGGCCGGGCCTTTGACTTTCACCGGGTAGAGCTTCTGCTCATCTGTATCCATCGCAAAACAAAATAATCAGCTACCAAGATATCGCAAGCACATGTTTTTCTCTCTCTCTCACCTTCGCGTGCAGCCTTTTCACCCAGTTGCTTGTCAGCTGAAAACACCTCAGCCGATTCATCGCTGTTCTTCACACCGCCCTCGCCCTCCACAGCAACAGTTTGCGCCTCACTAGCTCTCGGAGAATGTGTCTCATTCTCCCGGGACGCTCCTTTCTTTCCTTTGTTCTTATTCGAATTTAACTTCCCAGCCATAAAAAAAAATCTGCGCCGGAAGAGCAAACGAAAGAAACAATGAGAAACGAAAAGGCAAAAGGAGGAGGAGCAGTGAAGAGAGCCCTAATCGCGAAGAAGGAAGCAAATGCTTACCCCCGGAAGGCGCTGGAGCAGCGCCTTCGGCCTGGCTCGCCGCCGCTCCTTCGATTACAGCTTCGGAAAAGCGCTCCCAGAAAGAAATCGACGTCACAGAAGGCGCTGGCCGAGAAAATTTCCCCCTGGAAGCTCTCGGCTCGTAGCAGCGAGCACAATATCTGCTAAAACCCTAGAATGCCGGTAAATGCCCGGCCTTTACCCCGGATAAGGTTCCTCCCGGCAGGGATATTCCGTCCATGGCGGCTTAAACCCTAAACCCTAAACCACGGTCTAAACCAAGGTTATCAAAAAACCCATTTTAGGGCTCTTGGGATCACGATCACGAAATGCTGCTCCTCCATCCTTCGCATTGCGGATCCCTGCTACCGGTAAGCAATTCTTCTCTCAAATCCTTGCGGCAGCATCGATTCCTAGGCTCGCATGCGCGCGTGGTGTTTGCCACTGCCCGGGCATCGTATGCTGCAAATTCTCCCCCTCCAGCTGCGGAGGATCCCTCCAAAGCTGAGAAGCTTGCTCAGGTATCACAATCTCTCATCGCGCCTCACTCTTTCTCACTCTTTCTTCGCTCTTGTGTCCTTTGGAGCATAGGTCTCTAAACGCTTGGAAGTGACTGGAAGATACTTTAAGAGGCTGGGTAATCTGGGATTTTGGTCCCAGCTTGCCTGCATTGTAGTCTCGGCCGGGATTACTGCCTTCTCGGTTTTGATCACTGGCAACGCCACCTCTCCCACGACGTTCTACTTGACTGTTGCTGGGATTGCTGCTGGATTTGTCTCCGTGTTTTGGTCCTTTGGATTCATCCGGCTTGGCACCAAGCTGCAAAGTGTGGATCCCGAGCAGGTTAGCAGCTTTTTCCTTCATTGTGAACTTACAAGCTACAGCTCTGTCATTGTTTCAGGCACCTCCTCGCATCGAAGTAGTCGAGAACATCAAGAACGGTGTTGGCATCAACCTGTTTGGAATGGGAGCGACAATTCTGGGAATGCAGGCCACCGTCGGTGTTCTTGTCGCAAAAGCTCTAACGAGCTCGGCAGCACCGGTGCTTCAAAGACCATCTCCGAGCTACAGTCCAGTGCTAGCGCTCGATGTCTTTCTCGTGCAGGTAAGCTATAAGTATTTGGTAATCACTAACTGGCTTTCGGTCGCAGGCTTCAGCAAATGCGTTACTGTCGCACTTCTTGGGTTTGCTTTTCTCTCTAGAGCTTCTCCGATCGGTCACTTTGTCGCAGAATGCTCCTCCGCCAAAGCCTGCGTAATATGATTGTGGTAGAAAAGTTGATAGCCAGATCTGGACTGGTTAATGGTATTTGCATGTTTTTTCTTTCGTCGAAGACTAAGTGGTGAATCTTACAGATAAAGAATAACTAGTTGCTAGAAGTGCTGGTGCGAGAAGAGTTGACATGCCCCGACTCAGAGCTGGAGTCCGAAACTTTGGCGGTGGCCATCCTCGAGGCAATGCTTCTGACCGAGTTCACTCGTGACGGAGCAATCGTGCTGACGCTCAATCGTGACGGAACGCTCCTGACCGAGTTGGCTCTGGAGTTGGCCATGGTCCTTCCGCCGTAGTTCCACTTGGAGGAGAAATCGCTCCTGGTTGACGCCATCTCGCCAGAGGAGTCACTGTTGTTGTCAGCTACATGGCTTCTATTGCCGTCTTCACTGTCGCATGCTTTCAGCGTTGATTCGTCGAGCCAGTTGCTACCATCCAAGGTTCGTTGTCTCGACAGTGGCACTAACTTATGGTTCTTGTCCCTCCCATTCGCTGCTCGACAGGATTGGCTGCTGTGATCGTCCCTTGCAAAGAGTGGCTGAGTGAAGACCCACGCAGCACTCCTTTCCATCGAGAGTGGCTGATCATTGTTTGCAAACCATGCAGCAGGATCGTGCTCCTCCTCCTCCTCGTCGTCCGCGTTGTCCACTTGCAGCTCGATTGATAACGGACCCCCGAAGACTGATCTGGTTGCCGATGATGCAACCGTGATTTCAGTTGTCATGCCGACGGAGAAGTTGCTCGGCCGTGGAGCAAAGTTTGCCATGCCCTGGAAGTCTTGGACAACACACAGTGCATCGAATCTCTGCTCGCGTTCTTTCCCCCAGACGACGAGGTAGAGTCCCAGTAAGATTATGCTACCACCGACTAGGCTGCGCAAAAACTAGTTGTTTTTCTTCAGGTAGCAATGGAAGAGATTGTACCTTCCCAGGTTTAAGCTCTCCCTAAGCAAGAAGAACGCCAGGATTATGGTTATAATCGTTTCAAGAGGCTGGTAAGCTGCAACCAGCATCGGTCCTCCTTGCTTTACTCCCCAGGATTGAATTCCGAATACCATTGATCCAATAATTCCCTGTTACAAACTAATGTTTTGTAGGTAATGAAAGAAAATTTTACTTACTCCATAGGCTATGTTGATGCCATCAGCAATGCTAAACTTTAACCACTGAGATTTATGATGTACATAAATCGCAGCAATTACAGCAACTTGTATAGTGCCGAAAAAGAATGCAAATGAAGCAAATGATATAGGTGCTGCGTATTTTTCCATAAGGAATCCCTGAAGTAAATAAATTTACGAGCTCATTGCTATAAAATTATGATAACTTACCTGTAATGTCAGGAAGATTGAAAACGATACACAAGAAATGACAAGAAATAAAATTCCATATTGTTCGTTATTTAGCTCCAAGTGTATAACACCCAACCTTATTGAATGGTGGGCAATAGATAAAGTTGGTATATTTCCATACGAGAAGTGACTCATCAAAAGCTCTTGACCTTTGTAAACTAAAAGTGTCATCCATCCGCATATAAGTAAGATAGTCCCGACCAACTTGACAATACCATGACTTTTCTCAATATCAACCTTCTCCATCCTGACAAAAGTAAGAATCAACATAAGACGAATCAAGAAACATTGCAATTCATTACCTGAAGATCAGAGCAAAAATGAAAGTGAAGGCCGGAATCACATTCCGCATGGCTGAGGCAAATATTGGTGTTGTATACTTAAGCCCTTGTAGGTAGCATAGCTCGCTTACACAAACTCTGTAAGATTGGATACAGATTTTCCTCTCTAAATTGTTTTAAATGCTAAAACGTTTACAAAACTTACCCGAAGACACCAAGGAAGAACGTTGCAAATAATGCAGGAAAATTGAGAACCGGTTTCCTCTTCCTGATAAAAAAAACAAAAAGAAATCCACTAGTGAGTAATTATGAACTTAGCAATGCAGAAAGAATTTCACAAACTTTTCCACAAAGGAGGAGAGAAATCTCAGCACCATGAAGCCAAGACAATTTTTGTACACAGAGTAGACAATTATAGAACTGCCCTTGCCAAATCTCCGCCTGACCAAGACTTCGTAGCCTGCAAAACCTGCTTGGGCAACAATGAGAACGACATGAAATCGAAGCCGGGAAGAAGGTAATGAGATTGGTTGCTCATTATCAAAAAATCTAATGCTATTAGCAGTAGCTGCAGGTGGAAGAGGTAATGGAACATGTATCTCTTCTGAATCGATAGCAAAATCAGCTTTCTTCTCCTCCATAATCAAAACTTAAGCTTTTCTTGAGAATCAAAATGAGAAAAAAATGCATTAATTTAGTAGTGAGTTATTATAACCATTAGTTTATTTGGAGTTCCAAGTTTTCATTCCTCAGTTTTAAGCATATGAATATTCTGAGCCTTCAAATGAAAAGGATACTGAAAAGCCACATTCGATCACCCAAAAGAGATCTCCTGTCATAGATCATAGTGTCTCTGGTCAGGAACAAGCTCGATGGTGCTTGGCCAAACACTGTCACCTTCTCTCGGCAGCTCTTATAGCATATAACCATTTGGAAAGGTGACAGCACTCGTGGTGTATAGCCATTTAGGCATTGTGGAATCCTCTAATGTGGGCTTTCAAAAGATTTCCTCATCACAAATACTCACTTCTTACAATAGATTTTATGAATCCACATGTTGGTCCAATAGCTTTTGCATGTTACATATCAGAGTTTGTTCTTTTGTTTCTCTAAAAGGAAGTGGATTCCAATAAGGTGATTAATCCCTTCTACAAATGAGGCACTAGATTAATGGGTAACCTCTTATTCTATATGTGTTGCTAATTGGTATTGGTGTTCTATGTATGTAGAAAACAAATGTCTTAACAGCCCTTGATATTAAAGCTTAACAGCAACATTAAATTAGCTAAAGAAGAACGTACTTAAAATAAATTTTTATTTAAATTTTTTTCTTATAATAAAATACTAAGAAAAATCCACAAAAGACAATATTAAACTATTAGTATAGCGTAGCATGATTTCAAAAATGTTACATTATCCTTCATCCTAGTTTCAAAAAGGTGAGGAACTTCTGCTGCTATCCAAGGCCTAAGACCCAAGCAAAGCACATATGCAACACCAAATCTAGGACTGGCAAAGAGATACAAATTAAAATAAATCAAACAATGAAAAATCAATTTGATGCGCTAACGTTCTTTGTATGATTTCGTCGTCCAGGTTTGCCTTGGATGACGATGCGCAACTGGGTCTTAACGTTGCTTCGTGCCTCTTGACAAATACATGAACTTTTCTTTGCTTTGTAGGGCTGCTATGGGATGGGAAGCCAAATGTGATCATCAGACTGTATATAAAATTGTCTTACACTTGGAATCACTATAACTCATGGTTTGTGCTGACAGATATACGCCCATAAGTGATCCAGACGTTGATTTACTTCTGAAGGTATTGTGTTCTTTGTTTTCAGCATTTGTGTGCTTTTCAGCTGATGAGGGAAAAAATATTTCTTTTGTAGACTTACCCACAAGGAAAAATGAGCAAATATTTTGTTGCTCTTCGGCCTGGAGACACTTTGGAAATGAAAGCGTACATGTAGTTTACTACATTTCTTTCCATCTGTAGTTTTACAAGGAAGATCTACAGTCCTATTCCCAAGCTCCTATACAGCACCAACATGAAAGAACATATTGGGATGGTATATCTTTGAGTTCTCTGCGTCACTTTATCGCTTAGATTGCAGGAGGTACCGGGATCACACCGATGTTTCAAATGCTTAACGAGATCTCAAAAAATCCAGAAGATAAAACACAGGTTTGTCTCGAGGAAAACCGTGTCCTCGTAATGTTTCTGCGGCGTTTCCTCCGATCAGGTCTCGTTGATCTATGCCAACTTGACACCGGACGACATTCTACTAAAGAACGAGCTCGACAAACTAGCTGAAAAGCATCCAAACTTCAAGGTCCTGTTTGAGACTATCAGACTTCCACTCTCGTGTTTCCAAGGAAAACTGACGCATGTTTACAGGTTTTCTATGTTGTCGATAAGCCAACGCGTAACTGGGGAGGAGGAAACGGCTTCATCACGAAAGACATCCTGGTGAAGGGACTACTACCTCCTTCGGACGGCAATCTCATCATGGTTTGAAGCTCATTCGCTGCTCGTTGTTACTTAGTTCCCATTGACACAGTTTCCAACAGGTGTGCGGGCCTCCAGGCCTCATGAACCACATCTCCGGCGATAAAGCACCAGACAAATCACAAGGACAAGTAAGCATTTTACAGAGATATCTATTCCAACGCGCGAGCTTCCCTGATTCCACTCTTCCTTCTCAACAGTTGACAGGTCTCTTGAAGAGCATGGGTTACACCGAAGACCAAGTGTACAAGTTCTAGGCAATACAAAGCTCTTTGAAGTCATGAGAGCCGTAGATTAAGGTCCCCTGAGACGCACTGGCTTATTCCGTGGAGTCATGCCGTGTGCTTATGGAGTCGCAGCGTGATGATCTTTCCCTCCTGAACGAATGAAAAGAAGAGCGTCTGCACAGAAAAGAGTGGAAAGTCTATACTGTAGCACCTGATGCCTTGCGACTGTCCTTCGGAGTTGGAGCGGGGCTGGTCTTTGGAGGAGTTGGACTTGGAGCGGGGCTGGTCTTTGGAGGAGATGGGCTTGGAGCGGGGCTGGTCTTTGGAGATGGACTCGCCTTTGGGCTTGAACTGGGACTTTCCGTGCATCCTGTTAACAGCAAAACTCTATCAAGTTCATGGTACAAATCGTGGAAGCATGAAAAGTTGGCCAGACAAACCTGGTGGGGGCGGTCCTGGCAGAAACATGAAAGAAAAATAAAACAGTTAAGCCTGAAAAACCATAGAAAAGAAAGCAGAAGTTGGTATGTATATGGCACCAAATTTACGTAAAAAGTTTCAGTACATAATCTTGCTGTTAAATTCAAGACCACGGAGCCAGCACCTGGAGCAACAAAACCAAATCAAAGGCTATAGTAGCACAAACTTGAATTCGAACTTTCACCTGCATCGATCTTGTGCTGCAGCAACAACAAGCAAAGAAAAGATGTTGGCAAGAGTCCCATAGAACACCATGTCAAATACATCACAAGAACCTTGGTTTGCTTGACGAACACCAAACTCAGCAGCTCCATCATCCCCAAGACTGCAAACCACAAGACATGAAATCACCAACACCACAAAGACGGCCTTCATCTTGTAGAGACACTGGATGGCTGGCTGAGAAGCAATGTAGGAGGTAAATGCGAATGCATATGCAGGGCCCTGAAGGGGGAATTTATTTTGAACCAAGGCTAGCAAAACAAAGCCCCTGGAATCACAATGTACGGGGCAGAATCTCAGTTTTTGTTATTCCAAATCATAGCTGGTGGTAACATTCTGCCAGGTTTACGAACAAGGTGATATGACCTAAAGCGCATATGATAGTTGTCTTTTTTCCCAAAGAATTTAGAACGTGAAAGAGAATTGTCTGAGGTGATTCCAAATCTTAGCTGGGTGGCAACAATAGACACAAGTTCTGCCAGGTTTACGAACAAGGTGATATGACCTAAAGCGCATACAGCACAGGGACGTGATAGTTGTCTTGCCTATTTTATAGACAATGATTTGGATGTGCAAAGAAACCGATCCAGAGGCTAAATTGCAAGAAATTTGTTTAAGCGAAGTACTGCAGCTCGTTTGCCACGAGTCACATCTCCATGGAGCCTGCAAGCGCTCATCAGAGTTGTCCACCGCATCCGGAAGAAATGGCATGGACTGGATGAGATTCTCGGCCTCCTCCGCTTAGCCCGCCCAAGCAGATCAACCATGCACCTGTAGTGATGGGTCGATCCCAAAGTCTGATTGAATCGACAGGAAGTGTTCCCTAGCATCAGTGATCTTCCCCGCGTGGCTGCAACCACTCAGGATTGCGATAAAAGTGATCTCGTCCGGTGAAATCCCTTCGAGATTCATGGCCTGAAACGCATTAATCGCATCTTGCATATGCGTTTCTGGCAAGTACTGCGATCAAGGCCGTCCACGACCGCTGGTCTTTCCATGGCATATTTTCGAACACTTCATGGGCGCAGCTTACATTACCATTTACGGAAAATGCAACCATCATTGTAGTATTGTGCACCAGAATTCTGTCAAATATACTCTTCTCTTGCACAAGACACCCATTAAGGGCATAGACTGAGATCATAGCGTTCCAGGACACTACGTCGTGCAAGGGCATTCGATCGAAGGCTTGAATTGATTCGTCAAATTCACCACAATCGCCATAGCCAGTCAGAAGAACACACCATGCAGGGTGATCGCGGAAAGGCATCGAGAGGAACATTCTCTTCGCATCTGTTTGATACCCATCCTATGCACGGGCTGACATTACGGTGTTCCATGCCACGACATTCCAACTCGGCATTCTATCCAGGCCTCTTTTGCTTTGAAGGTTTGCATTGCAGTAACAAGTCCACCAGCTAGAGCATTCCAGGATCTTTCTGCTCCACAAGAGAAAACAATCTCCACATCTCCTCGAGATTCCCAACTCCGGCATTGCAGAAATCATGCAAGTCCAAGCTGCAACATTGGTCTCGGGCGTCGACTCAAAGATTATCTTTACCTCAGTTACCCGACCCACATGCGCCAAGACCTGTATCATTGCGTTACTAGACAGAATATCCCACTGTGGCATCCGATCAAAGAGTATCATTTCTTCCTGAGTATCCTCTGTTTGGGCATATACTGTAATCATAGTATTCCAAGTAATGACATTCTTTTGAGGCATGTTAAGAAACACAGAAGTAGATTCATTTAAGCAACAAGTAGATGCTCAAGATGACTAGGGCCTTTGACCCTTGCAATTCAATACTTGAAGATCAAAGCAAGAATGAAAGTGAAGGCTAAAATCCCATTCCACATGGTTGAGGTAAATATTAGTGTTGTATACTTAAGCTCTTGTAAGTAGCATAGCTCGCTTACACAAACTCTGTAAAATTGGATATAAATTTTCCTCTCTAAATTGTTTCAAATGTTAAAACATTGACAAAACTTACCTAAAGACAGCAAGGAAGAATGTTGCAAACAACATAAGAAAATTGAGACTTAGTTTCCTCTTCTTGAAAGAAAACAAAAAATAATCCACTAGTGAGTAATATGAACTTAGCAATGCAGAAAGAATGTCACAAACTTTAAATAATATGTCACAAACTTTTCCACAAAGAAGGAGAGAAATATCAAAACCAGGAAGCAATTTTTATATATGAATCATAGAACTACCCTTGCCAAAGCAAGACTTTGTAGCTTTCAAAACCTGCTTGGGCAACAATGAGAACCATATGAAATCTAAGCCGGGAAGAAGGTAATGAGATGGTTGCTCATCGTCAAATAATCTAATATTATTAGCATTAGCTGTGGGTGGAAGAGGTAATGGAATATATATCTCTTCTAAATCAATAGCAACATCAGAACAAGTACAACTCAAATCGCTATATATAACCTTAGAAATTTACAAAGGTATAAGAAAAGAAAAGATGGGCAAACAGAGCACATAAATCAGGTGTTGGAATTGAAAGTAACATCAAAACAAGTACAACTCAAATCACTATATATAATCTCATAAATTAACAAAAGTATAAGAAAAGAAAAGATGGGCAGATAAAGCACATGAATTAATTATTGGAAAATGTGTTGAGGTCTTTTGTGGGAAATTTGATTCAATAAAGAGTATGGGAGAAATACTTGCCTTTGCTTTAGTTTACTCACAATAATGCTTATCAATTGTTTATTAACATGTTTCCATTCATGGTAATGTATAGCTATGAGCATAAGTTTTTTGTGAATTTGAATTTGGCTTTAGTTTGGGTGTTTTATGTTTGTGATTTTCTGGAGGATATGCAAAACAAGTTTGAGTTGGCAAAGTTGAACATGAGGCAAGTTCAAAATAAAGACAAAAGTTAGGCTCATGAGTATTGTCATCATTAAGAGTACAAAGTTGGTGACAAAGTTTTCCTGAAATTGTTAGATGCACAAAAGTCTCTGAAAGGAGGTGGTAGTGATTGATCAGACATTAAAGAAGGTTCATTTAGATTGCAAGAGGTACCAAGATCATACTGATGTTCCAAGTGCTTAATGAAATTTTATAAAATCCAGAAGATAAAACACAGGATTGTCTCCAAGAAAAATGTGTCCTCATAATGTTGCAGCATTTCCTCTGATCAGGTCTCGTTGATCTATGCCAACTTGACACTGGACGACATTCTACTCAAGAACGAGCTCGACAAACTTGCTGAAAACATCCAAACTTCAAGGTCCCGTTTGAGACTATCAGACTTCTCGTGTTTCCAAGGAAAACCGATGCATGTTTACAGGTTTTCTATGTTGCCGATAAGCCAATGCGATAAGGATCCGGCTTCATCACGAAAGACCTGGTGAAGGGACTACCACCTCCTTCAGACGGCAATCTCATCATGGTTTGAAGCTCATTCGCTGCTTGTTACTTAGTTCCCCATTGACACCATTTCCAACAGGTGTGCAGGTCTCCAGCCCTCATGAACCACATCTCCGGCGATAAAGCACCAGACAAATGACAAGGACAAGTAACCATTTTACAGAGATATCTATTCCAACGCGCGAGCTTCCCTGATTCCCCTCTTCCTTCTCAACAGTTGACAGGTCTCTTGAAGAGCATGGGTTACACCGAAGACCAAGTGTACAAGTTCTAGGCATTCTTGGACAAGAACAACACAATACAATAAAAAACTCTTTAAAGTCATGAGAGCCGTAGATTAAGGTCCCCTGAGACGCACTGGCTTATTCCGTGGAGTCATGCCGTGTGCTTATGGAGTCGCAGCGTGATGATCTTTCCCACCTGAACGAATGAAAAGAAGAGCGTTTGCACAGAAAAGAGTGGAAAGTCTATACTGTAGCACCTGATGCCTTGGGACTGTCCTTCGGAGTTGGGCTTGGAGCGGGGCTGGTCTTTGGAGGAGATGGGCTTGGAGCGGGGCTGGTCTTTGGAGATGGGCTTGGTGTTGGGCTTGAACTGGGACTTTCCGTGCATCCTGTTAACAGCAAAACTCTATCAAGTTCATGGTACAAATCATGGAAGCATGAAAAGTTGCCTAGACAAACCTGGTGGGGGCGGTCCTGACAGAAACATGAAAGAAAAATAAAACAGTTAGGCATGAAAAACCATAGACAAACCTGGCGGTCCTGACAGAAACATGAAACAAAAATAAAACAGTTAGGCATGAAGAACCATAGAAAAGAAAGCACAAGGTTGTATGTATATGGCACCTGCTTCAAATTTACGTAAAAAGTTTCAGTACGTGATATTAATCTTGCTGTTAAATTCAAGAGTTTCACCTGGGCATGGCGGCGCACCACGGAGCCAGCACCTGGAACAACAAAACCAAATCGAAGGCTATAGTAGCATAAACTTGAATTCAAACTTTCACCTGCATCGATCTTGTGCTGCAGCAACAACAAGCAAAGAAAAGATGTTGGCAAGAGTCCCATAGAAGACCATGTGAAATGCATCAAAAGAACCTTGGTTTCCTTGACGAACAACAAACTCAGCAGCTCCATCATCTCCGAGACTGCAAACCACAAGACATGAAATCACCAATGCCACAAAGACGGCCTTCATCTTGTAGAGACACTGGATGGCTACCTGAGAGGCAATGCAGGAGGTGAAATGCGAATGCATATGCAGTGCCTCGAAGCTGGAATTTATTTTGAACCAAGGCTAGCAAACAAAGTCACTAGAATGACAATATACCAGAGAACGTGAATGAGAATTGTCTGAGGTGAAGTTGAGGTGAAGTGTCCCTTTCGAATCTTAGCTGGGTGGCGACTCCTTTATGACATTCATTGCCAACAAGGTGATATGACCTAAGGCCCACAAAGAAGCTGGCAGCATTCTGCAAACCAGTTTCTTTGATCCAGAGACTAAATTGCAAGAGATATGTTTAAGCGAAGTATGTGCTCTGCAGCTCACTTGCCAGACCAAGCAGATCAACCATGCACCTGTAGTGATCCACAATTGGGTCGATCACAAAGTCTGATTGGATCAACAGGAAGTGTTCTCGAGGATAAATGATCTTCCCCACGTGGCTGCAACCGCTCAGGATTGCAATAAAAGTGATCTCGTCCGGTGAAATCCCCTCGAGATTCATTGCCTGAAACGCATTAATCGCATCTTGCATATGCCCTTTCCTGGCAAGTACTGCGATCAAGGCCGTCGACGACCATTGGTCTTTCCATGGCATATTTTCGAACACTTCACGGGCATAGCTTAAATTACCATTTACTAAAATGCAACCATCATTGTAGTGAACGATGAAAGATTGTGTTCCAGAATTCTGTTAAATATTCTCTTCTCTTGCACAAGGCACCTATTAAGGGCATAGACTGAGATCGAAACGTTCCATGACAGTATGTCGTGCAAGGGCATTAGATTGAAGGCTTGAATTGATTCGACAAATTCATCACAATCGCCATAGCCAGTCAATATAACAGAAGAAAAACAACTTCACGCAAGAGAAACTCTTTCAAGATTAAACTACACTGTAGATTAGCATGATTTCGAAAATGTTAATTAGATACATTATCCTTATGAGAAATCATCCCAGTTTCAACAAGGTGAGGAACTTCTGCTGCTAGCCAAGGCCCAAGACCCAAGAAAAGCGCATGTGAAACACCAAATCTAGGACTGGCAAAGAGATACAAATTAAAATAAATCAAACAATGAAAAATCAATTTGATGCGCTAACGTTCTTTGTATGATTTCGTCACAAGGAAATGCCGTTATTTGATACAAGAACAACACAATACAATACAAAGCTCTTTAAAGTCATGAGAGTTCCCCTGAGACGCACTGGCTTATTCCGTGGAGTCATGCCGTGTGCTTATGGAGTCGCAGCGTGATGATCTTTCCCTCCTGAACGAATGAAAAGAAGAGCGTTTGCACAGAAAAGAGTGGAAAGTCTATACTGTAGCACCTGATGCCTTGGGAGTGGCCTTCGGAGTTGGGCTTGGAGCGGGGCTGGTCTTTGGAGGAGTTGGACTTGGAGCGGGGCTGGTCTTTGGAGGAGATGGGCTTGCAGCGGGGCTGGTCTTTGGAGGAGTTGGACTTGGAGCGGGGCTGGTCTTTGGAGGAGTTGGACTTGGAGCGGGGCTGGTCTTTGGAGGAGATGGGCTTGCAGCGGGGCTGGTCTTTGGAGGAGTTGGACTTGTAGCGGGGCTGGTCTTTGGAGATGGGCTTGGTGTTGGGCTTGAACTGGGACTTTCTGTGCATCCTGTTAACAGCAAAACTCCATCAAGTTCATGGTACAAATCGTGGAAGCATGAAAAGTTGCCTAGACAAACCTGGTGGGGGCGGTCCTGACAGAAACATGAAAGAAAAATAAAACAGTTAGGCATGAAAAACCATAGACAAACCTGGTGGGGGCGGTCCTGACAGAAACATGAAAGAAAAATAAAACAGTTAAGCCTGAGAAAAGAAGTTAAATTCAAGAGTTTCACCTGGGCATGGCGGCGCACCACGGAGCCAGCACCTGGAGCAACAAAACCAAATCGAAGGCTATAGTAGCACAAACTTGAATTCAAACTTTCACCTGCATCGATCTTGTGCTGCAGCAACAACAAGCAAAGAAAAGATGTTGGCAAGAGTCCCATAGAAGACCATGTCAAATGCATCAAAAGAACCTTGGTTTGCTTGACGAACAACAAACTCAACAGCTCCATCATCCCCGAGAATGCAAACCACAAGACATGAAATCACCAATGCCACAAAGACGGCCTTCATCTTGTAGAGACACTGGATGGCTGGCTGAGAGGCAATGCAGGAGGTGAAATGCGAATGCATATGCAGTGCCTCGAAGCTGGAATTTATTTCGAACCAAGGCTAGCAAACAAAGTCACTAGAACGACAATATTCCGGAGAACGTGAATGAGAATTGTCTGAGGTGAAGTTGAGGTGAAGTGTCCCTTTCAAATCTTAGCTGGGTAGCAACTCCATACAATATAGACACAAGTTCCAGCAAAATTGACAAAATGTCATAAATGTCAGATAGCACGTTCATGACTTTCATTAAAGCCCACAAAGAAGCTGGCAGCAAAGGGACGTGATAGTTGTCTTGCCTTCTGCAAACCAGTTTCTTTGATGCAGAGACTAAATTGCAAGAGATATATATGTTTAAGCGAAGTATGTGCTCTGCAGCTTGCTTGCCATGAGCCACATGGAACTTCCGTTTTTAGATATCTTCTTACTCCAATTTTGGAGAGCCTGCAAGCGCTCAACAGAGTTGTCCATGCCACCGCATCTGGAAGAAATGGCATGGATTGTATGAGATTCTCGGCCTCCTCCATCCGCTTAGCCCGCCCAAGCAGATCAACCATGCACCTGTAGTGATGGGTCGATCCCAAAGTCTGATTGGATCGACAGGAAGTGTTCTCGAGCATCAGTGATCTTCCCCGCGTGGCTGCAACCGCTCAGGATTGCAATAAAAGCGATCTCGTCCGGTGAAATCCCTTCGAGATTCATGGCCTGAAACGCATTAATCGCATCTTGCATATGCCCGTTCCTGGCAAGTACTGCGATCAAGGCCGTCCACGACCGCTGGTCTTTCCATGGCATATTTTCAAATACTTCACAGGCGCAGCTTACATGATCATTTACGGAAAATGCAACCATCATTGTAGTGAACGATGAAAGATTGTGTTCCAGAATTCTGTCAAATATTCTCTTCTCTTGCACAAGGCACCTATTAGACTGAGATCAAAACGTTCCACGACACTATGTCGTGCAAGGGCATTAGATTGAAGGCTTGAATTGATTCGACAAATTCATCACAATCGCCATAGCCAGTCAATATAACAGAAGAAAAACAACTTCACACAAGAGAAACTCTTTCAAGATTAAACTACACAGTGTAGATTAGCATGATTTCGAAAATGTTAACTAGATACATTATCCTTATGAGAAATCATCCCAGTTTCAACAAGGTGAGGAACTTCTGCTGCTAGCCAAGGCCCAAGACCCAAGCAGAGCGCATGTGCAACACCAAATCTAGGACTGGCAAAGAGATACGAATTAAAACAAATCAAACAAGGAAAAATCAGCTTACCAGTTCTTTGCCCATAAAGGTTTGAAATGGATTGTCAAACAAATCTTTCCACCCCTATACATCTGGAAAAGAGAGAAGAAGGTAAGAATTTTTCCTTGATAATGAGCTAGAGATTGAGCGTCTCTACCTTGGCTGTTTTCCCGTCCAGTTCCGGGAGCTCAAGCTCTGGAGCGGTTGCGGGGTAAGTCACGGGGATCTCGAACTGCAAATCAAACTCGTACTTGAGAAGGTTGTGGATGTACCAGCATCGCCCCTTCCATTTGGTCCCATCTGGACTGGCCGAGATGCGAAACCAATCGTTATCATTCGCTTTGTTCATCTCCATGTACTTGATCAAAGCCTGGAGTAGCAAACCAGGAAATTAGAACGAATTCTTCTCTCCTTCCCTCGATCGATTCAAGCTGCCGCTACACGGTCCACACGTCAAGGACGCAAATGTAGAGCAAAAGAGAGCGATCGCAGGTGGAAAAATGGGTTTTAAATCTGAGAGAAATTTCTGGAAATTCATACCTGGTACTCCTCCTTGAGGCGCTGCTTCCACGCATCGCCATCCCTAGGCCCAGCTCGGGTCTTGAGCAGTGGGATCTTCGCGACGGTGTTCTTCGTCCCAGCGTCCCAGCCCTCCATGACGAAAAACCCTAGATGCCCACGCTCGTGTCGAGAATATGCTTTGAGTCCAAATTTTCAGGGTTCATGGCGCTGGCGCTGCGCTCTCGATCGGCTCTTCGAAAGGCTGCCCCGGCATTTTCATTCCACAGCGGAGCTGAGGCCGCCGGATCTGGCGCCGATCGGCGGACTGGAGCCGCCGCCGCGGCGACTGGAGCGGCGATTTTGGCAGCAGTGGCGACGATCTACTCGACCTGGAAGAGCGAGGTGAGATCTTTTCTTGTAGCATGCTGCTGCTCATCTTTTTCCTGTGGATTCTGTAAAGACCGCTCGTAGCGACGCTGGGGATTTTGGTTCGTGCTTTGCTTTTTGCTCGAAAGTTCTAAGTTTTGGTCGTGGTTTGCTCACATTGTCCGTCCAGCATTGGATCCGAACGAATGGCGAAAGTTTCGACTCTTAGAAGCGAAGCCTGTGACTCACAACACGAGACGTTACAGGCAAGAGGAAAGAAAAAATGGAAAACAAGACGATGCGCTAACGTTCTTTGTATGATTTCGTTGTCCAGGTTTGCCTTGGATGACGATGCGCAACTGGGTCTTAACGTTGCTTCCTGCCTCTTGACAAAGTAACGGAGCTCCCAAACTTCATGAGGAAGATACGTGAATTTTTCTTTGCTTTGCAGGGCTGCTATGGGTACGAAAAAGGATGGGAAGCCAAATGTGATCATCAGACCGTATGTAGAATTGTCTTACGCTTGGAATCACTGTAACTCGTGCTTCGTGCTGACAGATATACGCCCATAAGTGATCCAGACGTTCGTGGTCACTTCGATTTACTTGTGAAGGTATTGTGTTCTTTGTTTTCAGCATTTGCGTGCTTTCTCAGCTAACGATGAAGAAAACATTTTCTTTGTAGACATACCCCCAAGGAAAAATGAGCAAATATTTTGCTGCTCTTCGGCCCGGAGACACTTTGGAAATGAAAGGGTACGTGTATTTTACTACATACTTTTTTCCGTCTGTAGTTTTACAAGGAAGATCCACAGTCCTATTCCCAAGCTCCCATACAGCGCCAACATGAAAGAACGTATCGGCATGGTATATCTTTGAGTTCTCTGCGTCACTTTACTGTCGTTTAGATTGCAGGAGGTACCGGGATCACACCGATGTTTCAAGTGCTTAACGAGATCTTAAAAAATCCAGAAGATAAAACACAGGTTTGTCTCCAGGAAAAACGTGTCCTCGTAATGTTTCTGCGGCGTTTCCTCCGATCAGGTCTCGTTGATCTATGCCAACTTGACACCGGACGACATTCTACTCAAGAACGAGCTCGACAAACTAGCTGAAAAGCATCCAAACTTCAAGGTCCTGTTTGAAGACTATCAGACTTCCACTCTGGTGTTTCCAAGGAAAACTGACGCATGTTTACAGGTTTTCTATGTTGTCGATAAGCCAACGCGTTACTGGGGAGGAGGATCCGGCTTCATCACGAAAGACATCCTGGTGAAGGGACTACCACCTCCTTCGGACGGCAATCTCATCATGGTTTGAAGCTTATTTGCTGCTCGTTGTTACTTAGTTCCCATTGACACAATTTCCAACAGGTGTGCGGGCCTCCAGGCCTCATGAACCACATCTCCGGCGATAAAGCACCAGACAAATCACAAGGACAAGTAAGCATTTTACAGAGATATCTATTCCAACGGGCGAGCTTCCCTGATTCCACTCTTCCTTCTCAACAGTTGACAGGTCTCTTGAAGAGCATGGGTTACACCGAAGACCAAGTGTACAAGTTCTAGGCATTCTTGGACAAGAACAACACAATACAATACAAAGCTCTTTAAAGTCATGAGAGCCGTAGATCAAGGTCCCCTGAGACGCACTGGCTTATTCCGTGGAGTCATGCCGTGTGCTTATGGAGTCGCAGCGTGATGATCTTACCCTCCTGAACGAATGAAAAGAAGAGCGTTTGCACAGAAAAGAGTGGAAAGTCTATACTGTAGCACCTGATGCCTTGGGACTGGCCTTCGGAGTTGGATTTGGAGCGGGGCTGGTCCGTGGAGGTGATGGGCTTGGAGCGGGGCTGGTCTTTGGAGGAGTTGGACTTGGAGTGGGGGTGGTCTTTGAAGGTGATGGGCTTGGAGCGGGGCTGGTCTTTGGAAGAGTTGGAATTGGAACGGGACTGGTCTTTGGAGGAGTTGGACTTGGAGCGGGGCTGGTCTTTGGAGAAGGGCTTGGTGTTGGGCTCGTCTTTGGAGATGGGCTGGGTGTTGGGCTGGTCTTTGGAGATGGACTCGCCTTTGGGCTTGAACTGGGACTTTCCGTGCATCCTGTTAACAGCAAAACTCTATCAAGTTCATGGTACAAATCGTGGAAGCATGAAGAGTTGGCCAGACAAACCTGGTGGGGGCGGTCCTGACAGAAACATGAAACAAAAATAAAACAGTGAAGCCTGAAAAACCATAGAAAAGAAAGCAGAAGTTGGTATGTATATGGCACCTGCTTCAAATTTACGTAAAAAGTTTCAGTACGTGATATTATCTTGCTGTTAATTCAAGAGTTTCACCTGGGCATGGCGGCGTACCACGGAGCCAGCACCTGGAGCAGCAAAACCAAATCAAAGGCTATAGTAGCACAAACTTGAATTTGAACTTTCACCTGCATCGATCTTGTACTGCAACAACAAGAAGCAAAGAAAAGATGTTGGCAAGAGTCCCATAGAAGACCATGTCAAATGCATCAAAAGAACCTTGGTTTGCTTGACGAACAACAAACTCAGCAGCTCCATCATCCCCGAGACTGCAAACCACAAGACATGAAATCACCAACGCCACAAAGACGGCCTTCATCTTGTAGAGACACTGGATGGCTGGCTGAGAGGCAATGCAGGGGGTAAAATGCGAATGCATATGCAGGGCCCTGAAGGGGGAATTTATTTCGAACTACCGGGCAGAATCTCTTTTTTTTTTTCCCAAGGAATTGACAAGGGAGCCCTTCCAAATCTTAGCTGGGTGGTGACAATAGACACAAGTTTTGCCAGGTTTACGAACAAAGTGATATGACCTAAAGCGCATGTGATAGTTGTCGTTTTTCCCAAAGAATTGACGAAAGAGAATTGTCTGAGGTGATTCCAAATCTTAGGTGGGTGGCAACAATAGACAAGGTATCCATACTACAATCTGACAATGGATACCTTCGTCCATGAATACCTTACAAGACGAAGCAAGTTCTGCCAGGTTTACGAACAAGGTGATATGACCTAAAGCGCATACAGTGATAGTTGTCTTGCCTATTTTATAGACAATGATTTGGATGTGCAAAGAAACCGGTCCAGAGACTAAATTGCAAGAAATTTTAAGCGAAGTATGTGCTCTGCAGCTCGTTTGCCACGAGCCACATCTCGATGGAGCCTGCAAGCGCTCATCAGAGTTGTCCATGCCACCACGTCTGGAAGAAATGGCATGGACTGGATGAGATTCTCGGTCTCCTCCAGCCGCTTAGCCCGCCCAAGCAGATCAACCATGCACCTGTAGTGATGGGTCGATCCCAAAGTCTGATTGGATCGACAGGAAGTGTTCTCGAGCATCAGTGATCTTCCCCGCGTGGCTGCAACCGCTCAGGATTGCGATAAAAGTGATCTCGTCCGGTGAAATCCCTTCGAGATTCATGGCCTGAAACGCATTAATCACATCTTGCATTCGGCCGTTTCTGGCAAGCACTGCGATCAAGGCCGTCCACGACCGCTGGTCTTTCCATGGCATATTTTCGAACACTTCAGCTTACATTACCATTTACGGAAAATGCAACCATCATTGTAGTATTGTGCACCAGAATTCTGTCAAATATACTCTTCTCTTGCACAAGACACCCATTAAGGGCATAGACTGAGATCATAGCGTTCCAGGCCACTACGTCGTGCAAGGGCATTCGATCGAAGGCTTGAATTGATTCGTCAAATTCACCACAATCGCCATAGCCAGTCAGAAGAACACACCATGCAGGGTGATCGCGGAAAGGCATCGAGAGGAACATTCTCTTCGCATCTGTTTGATACCCATCCTATGCACAGGCTGACATTACGGTGTTCCATGCCACGACATTCCAACTCGGCATTCTATCCAGGCCTCTTTTGCTTTGAAGGTTTGCGTTGCAGTAATAAGTCCACCAGCTAGAGCATTCAAGGATCTTTCTGCTCCACAAGAGAAAACAATCTCCGAGATTTCCAACTCCGGCATTTGCAGAAATCATGCAAGTCCAAGTTACAACATTGGTCTCGGGCGTCAACTCAAAGATTATCTTTGACTCAGTTACCTGACCCACATGCGCCAAGACCTGTATCATTGCGTTACTAGACAGAATATCCCACTGTGGCATCCGATCAAAGAGTATCATTTCTTCCTGAGTATCCCCTGTTTAGGCATATACTGTAATCATAGTATTCCAAGTAATGACATGCTTTTGAGGCATGTTAAGAAACACAGAAGTAGATTCATTTAAGCAAAAATTAGATGCTCAAGATGACTAGGGCTTTTGACCCTTGCAATTCAATACCTGAAGATCAAAGCAAGAATGAAAGTGAAGGCTGAAATCCTATTCTACATGGTTGAGGTAAATATTGGTGTTGTATACTTAAGCCCTTGTAAGTAGCATAGCTTACTTACATAAACTCTGTAAGATTGAATATAGTTCTTCCTCTCTAAATTGTTTCAAATGTTAAAACATTGACAAAACTTACTTGAACACAGCGAGGAAGATTGTTGCAAATAACATAGGAAAAATGAGATTTTGTTTTCTCTTCTTGGAAGAAAACAAAAGAAATCCACTAGTGAGTAATATGAACTTAGCAATGCAGAAAGAATGTCACAAACTTTGAGTAATATGAACTTAGCAATGCAGAAAGAATGTCACAAACTTTTCCACAAAGGAAGAGAGAAATCTCAAAACCAGGAAGCCAAGGCAATTTTTATACATGAATCATAGAACTACCCTTGCCAAAGCAAGACTTTGTAGCTTGCAAAACCTGCTTGGGCAACAATGAGAACCACATGAAATCTAAGCCGGGAAGAAGGTAATGAGATTGGTTGCTCATCATCAAATAATCTAATATTATTAGCAGTAGCTATAGGTGGAAGAGGTAATGGAACATATATCTCTTCTAAATCAATAGCAACATTAGAACAAGTACAACTCAAATATATAACCTCAGAGATTTATAAAGGTATAAGAAAAGGAAAGATGGGCAAATAGAGCACATGAATCAGGTGTTAGTATCAATAGCAACATCAAAATAAATACAACTCAAATCATTATATATAATCTCATAGATTGACAAAAGTATAAGAAAAGAAAAGATAGCTAAACACAACATATGAATTAACTATTGGAAAATGTGTTGAGGTCTTTTGTGGGAAACATGATTTAACAAAGAGTATAGAAAAAGTACTTGCCTTTGTTTTAGTTTACTCACAACTTTTGTGAGTTTTAGTTTGGCTTTAGTTTGGGTGCTTTATGCTTGTGATTTTTTAGAGGATATGCAAGACAAACTTAAATGGGCAAAGTTGAACATGAGGCAAGTTCAAAATAAAGACAAAAAATTGGCTAATGAACATTATCATCATCAAGAGTACAAAATTAGTGACAAAGTTTTCCTTAAACTGTCGGATGCACAATGTTCTTTGAAAGGAGGTGGTAGTGATCAATCAGACATTGAAGAAGGTATAGATATTGTTCAGATTGCAGGAGGTACCAAGATCACACTGATGTTCCAAGTGCTTAATGAGATCTTATAAAATCCAGAAGATAAAACACAGGATTGTCTCCAGGAAAAATGTGTCCTCATAATGTTTCTGCAGCATTTCCTCTGATCAGGTCTCGTTGATCTATGCCAACTTGACACTGGACGACATTCTACTCAAGAACGAGCTCAACAAACTTGCTGAAAACATCCAAACTTCAAGGTCCTGTTTGAGACTATCAGACTTCTTGTGTTTCCAAGGAAAACTGATGCATGTTTACAGGTTTTCTATGTTGCCGATAAGCCAATGCGACCGCCTTCATCACGAAAGACCTGGTGAAGGGACTACCACCTCCTTCAGACGGCAATCTCATCATGGTTTGAAGCTCATTCGCTGCTCGTTACTTAGTTCCCCATTGACACCATTTCCAACAGGTGTGCGGGCCTCCAGCCCTCATGAGCCACATCTCTGGCGATAAAGCACCAGACAAATCACAAGGACAAGTAACCATTTTACAGAGATATCTATTCCAACACGCGAACTTCCCTGATTCCACTCTTCTTTCTCAACAGTTGACAGGTCTCTTGAAGAGCATGGGTTAGACCAAGTGTACAAGTTCTAGGCATTCTTGGACAAGAACAACACAATACAATACAAAGCTCTTTAAAGTCATGAGAGGTCCCCTGAGACGCACTGGCTTATTCCGTGGAGTCATGCCGTGTGCTTATGGAGTCGCAGCGTGATGATCTTTCCCTCCTGAACGAATGAAAAGAAGAGCGTTTGCACAGAAAAGAGTGGAAAGTCTATACTGTAGCACCTGATGCCTTGGGAGTGGCCTTCGGAGTTGGGCTTGGAGCGGGGCTGGTCTTTGGAGGAGATGTGCTTGGAGCGGGGGTGGTCTTTGGAGGAGATGGGCTTGGAGCGGGGCTGGTCTTTGGAGATGGGCTTGGTGTTGGGCTTGAACTGGGACTTTCCGTGCATCCTGTTAACAGCAAAACTCTATCAAGTTCATGGTTCAAGTTTGCCCAGACAAACCTGGTGGGGGTGGTCCTGACAGAAACATGAAACAAAAATAAAACAGTTAAGCCTGAAAAACCATAGAAAAGAAAGCAGAAGTTGGTATGTATATGGCACCTGCTTCAAATTTACGTAAAAAGTTTCAGTACGTGATATTAATCTTGCTGTTAAATTCAAGAGTTTCACCTGGGCATGGCGGCGTACCACGGAGCCAGCACCTGGAGCAGCAAAACCAAATCAAAGGCTATAGTAGCACAAACTTGAATTTGAACTTTCACCTGCATCGATCTTGTACTGCAACAACAAGAAGCAAAGAAAAGATGTTGGCAAGAGTCCCATAGAAGACCATGTCAAATGCATCAAAAGAACCTTGGTTTGCTTGACGAACAACAAACTCAGCAGCTCCATCATCCCCGAGACTGCAAACCACAAGACATGAAATCACCAACGCCACAAAGACGGCCTTCATCTTGTAGAGACACTGGATGGCTGGCTGAGAGGCAATGTAGGAGGTAAATGCGAATGCATATGCAGTGCCCCGAAGCCGGAATTTTATTTCGAACCAAGGCTAACAAACAAAGCCACTGGAATCACAATGTACCGGGCAGAATCTCAGTTTTTGTTATTTATCCAAAGAATTGACAAGGGAGAACGTGAAAGAGAATTGTTTGAGGTGGAGTGTCCCTTCCAAATCTTAGCTGGGTGGCAACAATAGACACAAGTTCTGCCAGGTGTACGAACAAGGTGATATGACCTAAAGCGCATAATAGTTGTATAGCCTATTTTATAGGATGGCAAAGAAACCGATCCAGAGACTAAATTGCAAGAAATTTGTTAAAGCGAAGTATGTGCTCTGCAGTCGTTTGCCACGAGTCACATCCAACAGAGTTGTCCATGCCACCGCATCTGGAAGAAATGGCATGGACTGGATGAGATTCTCGGCCTCCTCCAGCCGCTTAGCCCGCCCAAGCAGATCAACCATGCACCTGTAGTGATGGGTCGATCCCAAAGTCTGATTGGATCGACAGGAAGTGTTCTCGAGCATCAGTGATCTTCCCCGCGTGGCTGCAACCGCTCAGGATTGCGATAAAAGTGATCTCGTCCGGTGAAATCCCTTCGAGATTCATGGCCTGAAACGCATTAATCACATCTTGCATTAGGCCGTTTCTGGCAAGTACTGCGATCAAGGCCGTCCACGACCACTAGTCTTTCCATGGCGAAATGCTTATCTATTGCCATGTTTACATCCAGTGAAAGGGATGTGATATGGGATAAACTTTTAACTTATAGGAGAATAAGAACTCGATTGATGCTAAGTCTGATCGCATTAGAAAAGGACTTGTATGTTGGTGAGAGTATTATAGTAATGAAATTCCAGCACTTTAGAAGTTGGCCATTCGAGTTCTAAGTCAAGCATGCTCGTCATCCTTAGTGAAAAGATTGTTTAGCACTTTCAAGGATATGTCTTCAAAGAAGAAAAATAAACTTACTATGGACAAGACAGAGGTTGTTAATCTGTAATTTGTCATAGATTGTGACTATGACAAATTTGTGAGCTATAATGTAAGAAGACAAACTTAAGTCAGGAGAGGAAGAGGAAGAAGAAGAAGAAAATGGAGATGATATCAAAGATTATGAGGTTGAAGATAACAATGATTTGTTTGACAAAGAAAGCTCATTTCTTCCTAGTAAAGACAACAATTAAAACTACTAAACTTGCTTAGTTGTTTGTAAATTAGTTATTTAGTCTATATAGTTTGTTGGGTGGATTTTTGAGTAGTTTATTTATAATAAAAAGTAGCATATTCCTAGAATTAAAAAGAGAATATTCTTATAATATCCACTAGAATATTCATGAGCTATTGATCGTGTTCTATAGTCAGGTTCCTGAAATCTAAAGCTCATGTTTGTGTTCTATATTCGTGTTCATAAGTATGATATCAATTATAAACATTATTGTGAGCAAAATGGAGCAAAAGCAAATACTTCTCCCATACTTTTTGTCGAGTCAAGTTTCTTATAAAAAACCTCAATACATCTTCTAACAATTGATTCATGCACTTTATCTGCCCATCTAAATGTGAATGCTCACCACTACTCATGTTCAACTTAATTTTTAACTTCTCAAATATCATTGCCAAAACTTAAACATGAACTTAGGATCTTGATCAATCACAATATACAATCTACAACTACCAAATAATATTATTTCCTTGAAAAGTCTTGGGCAAACTAGTGGTAAATTATATTGAGATGTTATCCCAATCATTTTCAAGTATACATAGAGGATAATAGAGGCCAACAAACTTATGATGATCAACTTTGACCACTTGCCAAGTCAAACAACCATATACATAGTTTTCAACATCTAACTTTATCCTAGGCAAAACAAAATGCCTCTTCACTAATACATACGTCCTTAGTACCCCTAGATGCCTAGCATTTATCAACTAAAATCTTTTTAATGAGTTTATCAATATGAGGAATCACTAAATGTCCCTTATTTACCAAGATTTCATTTCATATCTTGAATGATATAACCTTATCACCCTTTAAATACATAGAGGTATCCCTCAATAAAACCTTCATATTAATATTAGTGATGAAGAAGTTGAAGTCAATAAACTCTTTAAACTCATCTAAAAGATTGCTAGATAACTTCATGAATGAGATAAAATTCATTATCTTGAATAATGCATTAGCCATTTTATTGTCATCACCAAACTTGTACCAGATTTTCACAAATATGTCCTGTAAGAGCTCTTGCCAACCAGTAAAGTGGTCTCAAAGATCCTTTTAATGACTAAAATATTGGAGAGATTGATGGTTTGGATCTACATAGAAGTCTGATCCATATAGATAATATTGCCATTCATTCACAATAGCAATCATAGAATACAATGCCTTATCTCGAGTAAGCCAATTTTATTGTGTGGCATCAAACTTAGATCATGCATTATCAAAGGTATAAACCAATCAATCATGACTTGGATCTTTGTGAGATCATCTTTTATACCATACACTGAAATTGCCTGAGATATCTAATTTCCTCCAAGAAAAACTCATACTTGGATAACTTTGAGTATAGCTTGTTATCACTCAAAAGATGTAAAACACTTCGCACATGCATCTCATGTTCTACTGTAGAGTTGAACACTAGGATATTAAAGTAGTCGATCACAAATTTCCCCAAATAAGGTTGTAAAACTTAATTTATCAACCTTTGAAAAGTTGTAAGAGCATTTATCAAACCAAATGGATTTGATAATACCCTTGCTTCAAATCAATCTTTATAAAATATTGAGCACCATAAAGACAATTGAGCAAATCATCAATATGAAGTATATTCTTTCACTGTTCTATCATTTAATCCCTTAACCGTTCTAGTTCATATAGAAAAGCCATGTACTTTTTCTTTTTGACCATCACCATTGAAGCAGCGTAAAGAGACTTGCTTATCCATAACCACCTCTTTTGAAGGTACTCAGAAAGTTGCCTATTGATTTCATCTTCAAAAGGACTAGGGAGAGTCAATTTTTGGTGATAAGGAGTAACTCCAAGAGCTAAGTCAATTTCATGCTAAGTTAGATGGGGCAAACCATTAGGCAATTCATCTGGAAATACATCATGGAACTCCTTTTGAATGCAATTCATACAAGCCCTATGCCTACAAATGTACTTTAAATCAGAGTCTTAGATCGAGTACGAGATCGAGTCCAAGACCGAGTCTGAGATCGAGTCCAAGACCAACTCTGAGACTGAGTTCGAGATAGAGTCCAGGATCGAGTCCGAGGCCAACTCCGAGACCGAGTCCAAGACCAACTCTGAGACTGAGTTCGAGATAGAGTCCGGGATTGAGTCCGAGGCCAACTCCGAGACCGAGTTCAAGGCCAAGTTCGAGACCAAGTTTGAGATAGAGTCCGAGATCCAAGATCGGGTCCGAGACCGAGTCCGAGGTCCAGTCCGAAGTCGAGTCCGAGATCGAGTCTGAGGTCAAGTCCGAAATCGAGTCCGAAGTTGGGTCCGAGATTGAGTCTGAGATCGAGTCCGAGACCGAGTCCGAGTACTAATATAGGTCGAGGGGTGAAAGCCTAAAGCATGTGTCTCCCGGGGGGGGGGGGCTACAGGGGGTTCCAAAAATATAGTAGGGATAGTGAGATCCAAGAACCAATCTTGAAGGAACTCTCTAGTAGTGCTTCCAAACTGACTTGAGGTTGAGATTGGGACCGAGGGGCTTTGGGTGGGAATGAGCATGGACTTGGGTGGTGCCAGAGGGGCCACCCAAGGAAGTGCTTAAAAGCAACTCCCACTCCTGGAAGGGAAATCTACTGTAATGCTCCCGGCTCATGTGGAGTGGTGCCCCACTTGAGTACCTTGTGGCTCATTGGTCCTCACCCTTCCTAAGGGCTTGGGTCTTCCCTTTGGGATGGAAGTGGGGGGGTAAAGGTACCCATCCTGGGCAATTAGGCCATAGTGTTTTGCCCCGGTGTCCTGAAGCAAGTGGTGCACCCGAGGCTTGGGATTTAAAGGGTCCTATGATTAAATCTTGTTATACCAAGGGATGTTAAGAACTTTGAGGCTTGGTGTGCTTGGTTGCTTGTGCTTGCGGGGAGTATAGCCGAACCTTAAGTCCAGTCTAACTTGGGGAGGGGGATTAGGAGAGATTTAGGAATCCATGGATGGATACCTAACACTCCATTGCTTGTGCAGTGAGTAGTTGAAACCAAGTAGGACCAAGTAGAAGCTAGTACAATATACGAGAATCTTGGCAAGGGAACTTAGCTAAAAGCCAAGGCAGTGTTGGGCGGATAGACAAGGTAGGTTGGCAAATTGGAAAGGAAAACTTTGTGGCTTACAACTTCCTCACCATGTGACCATATCTTTAGTCACTACACAAGAGGATTGCTCCTCTTCCTTTCCACAGTCTGAGACATTTCAAAACACCATGGCCCTATACAAGCCTTATGGGTACTCTTTGCAGCTTCTACTCTTATGTGCTCAAGCCATGTGGCTAAAGTGAGGTTCTGATAAGCCACATTAGGTATTTAAATAGATAATGTCACCTACACTTGAATTAGGAGCATTGACTATTCGATCTCCTGCTAGAGCTAACTCTTAAACACTTCACCAAGTTATCCCATTTATCCATTTGTATTCATTCTAGCCTTGAACTCCTCAATGGTTATATCATCACCCACCACATGGGTATAACTTGGATATGCAACTTTCAGGACACCCAAATTTCCCACCGTCCAGAGAAGCGATCCATGTGATCGATGCAAAGTTTGGCATATCATATTTGTTTATGGACAGCCTAGGACGGTTCCTTGATCACACTGCCCTTTTTTAGCTAAATTAGTTCCACTAAAGTCCTCCCCCCTACTATCCTTTTGAAGCTCACTAAACCCCTTAGGGTTTGAGAAATTATTGCTTTTGGCTTTCACCCTCAAATTCAGACTTAGACTCAAACTTAGACTCGAACTCAAACTCAGACTTGGTCTTAGTCTCAATCTCGGTCTTGGTCTTAGTCTTAGTTCTAGTTTCGGTCCCCATCTTAAATTCCTTCTCAAACTTCATTTTAAACTCTATTTTAGACTCATTCTTGGACTCTATCTTGAACTCCTTCTTAAACTCTTTTTTGTGTCCTTTTTTAGAGATTTATTCACTGATTGTGTCATACTCATTCCTTGAGCATTTTATTTGGAGTTCCACTCCCGCTTTTGACTTTTTGAGTTAGAACTTTTGGTCCAAATATATTACACTTGTTAAACTTCCACTTCGAATATTACTATATGGCACCTTTTCGGCTCCACTCTAGGGCTTAGGGATTTGTGTCTCACAATCAAACACTTATATCCATGATGGATTCCATGATATTCATCTTAACATTCTTTAATCCCTTCACAAAAGGATAATCCTTGCTTTGATGTTCAACCTTGTGGCAATGAAAATAATTATCCTTCATCTTATCTTTCCCATTAGTCTAAACGAAGTTTCTTAGCCTTATTGCCATCTCCTTTCTTTGAGCCACAACGCAGTAATGGTCATTTCTTCCCTAAATGTGAAGCATTAATTAGTTGATCATCACGTTGACTACCCTGTTGACCATCCCATTGACCATAGTTGATTGACAGTTTTGACAAAAAGATCTAATAGCATCAATTAATATTCCTAGAAAATCCTTCTTGACCTTTTATTACACATTTAATAAGCTCAAACCTTTAATGAAATATTGCACCTTTAATAGCTTATTATAGGTGCCTATGAAAATGCGAAACTTGCAGGCATACACATTTAAAGATAAAGTGCTTTACTTGATCTTTAGTGATTAACCTCTTCAAAATTCTTGATAAATGAAGTGCAAAAAGCTTTTGTCAAATCACTCCAAAAACTTGATTTTAGATTAACTTTGATGTAGTTTTTCCACGCCACAAAAAAGCATGTGTAAGCTTCCTCATAAAAAAACAATCTTCACCTTGTTTTCACAAGAATTGTATGATTAACAACTTTTCCATGAGTCCAACTAACAATCAACCTTTTGGTTATCATAAATATCTAATTGTGACTTCCATTCCATAATACTATAATCCTTGGCATGTTTAACATACCAATGGTAATCATGAATATAAGATTGATTCAACCTTTAAGCGTCAATATGAAATAACCTTAATGAAATTGATGAAATCTTGCTTTAAGCTTTAGTAATTTGGCATCCTTGCTACACAATGACATTATCAAGAGTCTCTTCCTTTTTGTCATGGCCATCATTATTAAAGCTATACACCTCATCAAGATATATATTTTGCTTATTTCCCATCTTGAAAAGAATATTACTAATGAAATGCATGAAGAGCAAACCCTAGGCTAACCTTAAGCTATAAACAATTCTTGGAATATTCCTGCAGTTTGTGTCATGTTGCTAATTGGTCACACTTAATGTCCATTACAATACTTTGAAGAATTGACATTAAATTAGCTAAAGAAGAACACATTTAAAACATATTTATTTAAAACTCTCTCTTATAAATAAGAATATTAAATACAGCTAAAAATTAATTAAAATATGTACTCCTATAATTATAAATATTCTTATATTTAATAATTTTTAAGTAGGCATTTTTCTTAACCACATTAAATTTTTTCTCTTAAACATTTAAAATGATCAAAATGATGAAATGATCAAATAATTTATTTATATTAAATTTCAGACTCTATACTTACTATCCACAAAACTATTTTTAATGATAATAATAAACTTATTTTGTTTGTTTATTTTTATTTTTATATTTTATATAGTTCACAAAATGAGAGAACAGTCTTTAACTTTTTATTATTTTATAATTATGTGACTCTATGCACTCACACTTACAATTAATTTGTAAACATTTAAATTTGTAAAGAAAGTGAAAATATTAAATAATAATATATTTTTATTATTTTATATATATTTTAATTTGAACAAATTTAAATTTGGAGGAGATCAATCTTCTCACTACAATAAATAATTTATCCAAACTCATTTGAAAATGAATTACATGCTCTGGTATATCTAAAAATAATAAAATACTTTTAATAACTATTAAGATTTATAGAATAGGTAAAAATAATTTATTTTATTTACAATTTTATATTTAAAGTAATAAAAAAATTAAATTTTTAGCCACAATCAATAATTGATTATTTTTATTTATGATGGTCTAATAATAAATATATCATATATCAATTAATTTTTTCCTGGTTATTAAAATATTTTAAAATAATTTAAGTTATAAAATAATTTAAATACTGGATAATTTGTACTTTTACACTACTTTAGTAATAAATTTAATTTTAAAAATAGTAGACTACAACACCTAACATTATCCTTATGAATAATCATCCCAATTTCATGAGGAACTTCAGCTACTAGCCACAAACAAAGCACATTTGCAACACCAAATCTAGGACTGGCATAGAGCGAATTAAAACAAATCAAACAATAATGAAAAATCAGTTTTAAAAGCTTGAAATGGATTGTCAAACAAATCTTTCCACCCCTATACAAGAGAGAAGAAGGTAAGAAATTTTCCTTGATAATGAGCTAGAGATTGAGCGTCTCTACCTTCCCGTCCAGTTCCAGGAGCTCTAGCTCTGGAGCGGTGGTGGGGTAAGTCACGGGGATCTCGAACTGCAAATCAAACTCGTATGTGAACGTACCAGCAGCGGAGTGGATTCCACAGCGGAGCTGAGGCCACCAGATCTGGCACGGATCGGTGGACTGGAGCCACCGCCAAGGCGACTGGAGTGGCGATTTTGGCAGCAGTGGCGACGATCTACTCGACCTGGAAGAGCGAGGTGAGGTCTTTTCTTGTAGCATTCTGCTGCTCATCGGTTTCTTGTGGATTCTGGAAAGACCGCTCGTAGCGACGCTGGGGATTTTGGTTCGTGCTTTGCTTTTTGCTCAAAAGTTCTAGGTTTTAGTTGTGGATTGTCCGTCCAGCATTGGATCCGAACGAATGGTGAAAGTTTCGACTCTTAGAAGCGAAGCCTGTGACTCACAACACGAGACGTTACAGGCAAGAGGAAAGAAAAAATGGAAAACAAGATGATGTGCTGATGTTCTTTGTCATCCAGGTTTGCCTTGGATGACGATGCGCAACGTTGCTTCGTGCCTCTTGACAAAGTAACGGAGCTTCCAAACCTCATGACGAAGATATGTGAATTTTTCTTTGCTTTGCAGGGCTGCTATGGGTACAAAAAAGGATGGGAAGCCAAATGTGATCATCAGACCATATGTAAAATTGTCTTACGCTTGGAATCACTGTAACTCATGCTTCGTGCTGACAGATATACGCCCATAAGTGATCCGTACGTTCGTGGTCACTTTGATTTACTTGTCAAGGTATTGCTTTCAGCGTTTGCGTGCTTTCTCAGCTGACGATGGAAAAAATATTTCTTTTGTAGACTTACCCGCAAGAAAAAATGAGCAAATATTTTGCCGCTCTTCGGCCCGGAGACACTTTGGAAATGAAAAGGTGCGTGTAGTTTACTACATTTCTTTCCGTCTGTAGTTTTACAAGGAAGATCCACAGCAAGCTCCCATACAGCGCCAACATGAAAGCACGTACTGGGATGGTATATCTTTGAGTTCTCTGCGTCACTTTACTGTCGTTTAGATTGCAGGAGGTACCGGGATCACACCGATGTTTCAAGTGCTTAACGAGATCTTAAAAAATCCAGAAGATAAAACACAGGTTTGTCTCCAGGAAAAACGTGTCCTCGTAATGTTTCTGCGGCGTTTCCTCCGATCAGGTCTCGTTGATCTATGCCAACTTGACCCCGGACGACATTCTACTCAAGAACGAGCTCGACAAACTCGCTGAAAAGCATCCAAACTTCAAGGGCCTGTTTGAGACTATCGGACTTCCACTCTGGCGTTTCCAAGGAAAACTGACGCATGTTTACAGGTTTTCTATGTTGTCGATAAGCCAACGCGTTACTGGGGAGGAGGATCCGGCTTCATCACGAAAGACATCCTGGTGAAGGGACTACCACCTCCTTCGGACGGCAATCTCATCATGGTTTGAAGCTTATTTGCTGCTCGTTGTTACTTAGTTCCCATTGACACAATTTCCAACAGGTGTGCGGGCCTCCAGGCCTCATGAACCACATCTCCGGCGATAAAGCACCAGACAAATCACAAGGACAAGTAAGCATTTTACAGAGATATCTATTCCAACGGGCGAGCTTCCCTGATTCCACTCTTCCTTCTCAACAGTTGACAGGTCTCTTGAAGAGCATGGGTTACACCGAAGACCAAGTGTACAAGTTCTAGGCATTCTTGGACAAGAACAACACAATACAATACAAAGCTCTTTAAAGTCATGAGAGCCGTAGATCAAGGTCCCCTGAGACGCACTGGCTTATTCCGTGGAGTCATGCCGTGTGCTTATGGAGTCGCAGCGTGATGATCTTACCCTCCTGAACGAATGAAAAGAAGAGCGTTTGCACAGAAAAGAGTGGAAAGTCTATACTGTAGCACCTGATGCCTTGGGACTGGCCTTCGGAGTTGGATTTGGAGCGGGGCTGGTCCGTGGAGGTGATGGGCTTGGAGCGGGGCTGGTCTTTGGAGGAGTTGGACTTGGAGTGGGGGTGGTCTTTGAAGGTGATGGGCTTGGAGCGGGGCTGGTCTTTGGAAGAGTTGGAATTGGAACGGGACTGGTCTTTGGAGGAGTTGGACTTGGAGCGGGGCTGGTCTTTGGAGAAGGGCTTGGTGTTGGGCTCGTCTTTGGAGATGGGCTGGGTGTTGGGCTGGTCTTTGGAGATGGACTCGCCTTTGGGCTTGAACTGGGACTTTCCGTGCATCCTGTTAACAGCAAAACTCTATCAAGTTCATGGTACAAATCGTGGAAGCATGAAGAGTTGGCCAGACAAACCTGGTGGGGGCGGTCCTGACAGAAACATGAAACAAAAATAAAACAGTGAAGCCTGAAAAACCATAGAAAAGAAAGCAGAAGTTGGTATGTATATGGCACCTGCTTCAAATTTACGTAAAAAGTTTCAGTACGTGATATTAATCTTGCTGTTAAATTCAAGAGTTTCACCTGGGCATGGCGGCGTACCACGGAGCCAGCACCTGGAGCAGCAAAACCAAATCAAAGGCTATAGTAGCACAAACTTGAATTTGAACTTTCACCTGCATCGATCTTGTACTGCAACAACAAGAAGCAAAGAAAAGATGTTGGCAAGAGTCCCATAGAAGACCATGTCAAATGCATCAAAAGAACCTTGGTTTGCTTGACGAACAACAAACTCAGCAGCTCCATCATCCCCGAGACTGCAAACCACAAGACATGAAATCACCAACGCCACAAAGACGGCCTTCATCTTGTAGAGACACTGGATGGCTGGCTGAGAGGCAATGCAGGGGGTAAAATGCGAATGCATATGCAGGGCCCTGAAGGGGGAATTTATTTCGAACTACCGGGCAGAATCTCTTTTTTTTTTTCCCAAGGAATTGACAAGGGAGCCCTTCCAAATCTTAGCTGGGTGGTGACAATAGACACAAGTTTTGCCAGGTTTACGAACAAAGTGATATGACCTAAAGCGCATGTGATAGTTGTCGTTTTTCCCAAAGAATTGACGAAAGAGAATTGTCTGAGGTGATTCCAAATCTTAGGTGGGTGGCAACAATAGACAAGGTATCCATACTACAATCTGACAATGGATACCTTCGTCCATGAATACCTTACAAGACGAAGCAAGTTCTGCCAGGTTTACGAACAAGGTGATATGACCTAAAGCGCATACAGTGATAGTTGTCTTGCCTATTTTATAGACAATGATTTGGATGTGCAAAGAAACCGGTCCAGAGACTAAATTGCAAGAAATTTTAAGCGAAGTATGTGCTCTGCAGCTCGTTTGCCACGAGCCACATCTCGATGGAGCCTGCAAGCGCTCATCAGAGTTGTCCATGCCACCACGTCTGGAAGAAATGGCATGGACTGGATGAGATTCTCGGTCTCCTCCAGCCGCTTAGCCCGCCCAAGCAGATCAACCATGCACCTGTAGTGATGGGTCGATCCCAAAGTCTGATTGGATCGACAGGAAGTGTTCTCGAGCATCAGTGATCTTCCCCGCGTGGCTGCAACCGCTCAGGATTGCGATAAAAGTGATCTCGTCCGGTGAAATCCCTTCGAGATTCATGGCCTGAAACGCATTAATCACATCTTGCATATGGCCGTTTCTGGCAAGTACTGCGATCAAGGCCGTCCACGACCGCTGGTCTTTCCATGGCATATTTTCGAACACTTCAGCTTACATTACCATTTACGGAAAATGCAACCATCATTGTAGTATTGTGCACCAGAATTCTGTCAAATATACTCTTCTCTTGCACAAGACACCCATTAAGGGCATAGACTGAGATCATAGCGTTCCAGGCCACTACGTCGTGCAAGGGCATTCGATCGAAGGCTTGAATTGATTCGTCAAATTCACCACAATCGCCATAGCCAGTCAGAAGAACACACCATGCAGGGTGATCGCGGAAAGGCATCGAGAGGAACATTCTCTTCGCATCTGTTTGATACCCATCCTATGCACAGGCTGACATTACGGTGTTCCATGCCACGACATTCCAACTCGGCATTCTATCCAGGCCTCTTTTGCTTTGAAGGTTTGCGTTGCAGTAATAAGTCCACCAGCTAGAGCATTCAAGGATCTTTCTGCTCCACAAGAGAAAACAATCTCCGAGATTTCCAACTCCGGCATTTGCAGAAATCATGCAAGTCCAAGTTACAACATTGGTCTCGGGCGTCAACTCAAAGATTATCTTTGACTCAGTTACCTGACCCACATGCGCCAAGACCTGTATCATTGCGTTACTAGACAGAATATCCCACTGTGGCATCCGATCAAAGAGTATCATTTCTTCCTGAGTATCCCCTGTTTAGGCATATACTGTAATCATAGTATTCCAAGTAATGACATGCTTTTGAGGCATGTTAAGAAACACAGAAGTAGATTCATTTAAGCAAAAATTAGATGCTCAAGATGACTAGGGCTTTTGACCCTTGCAATTCAATACCTGAAGATCAAAGCAAGAATGAAAGTGAAGGCTGAAATCCTATTCTACATGGTTGAGGTAAATATTGGTGTTGTATACTTAAGCCCTTGTAAGTAGCATAGCTTACTTACATAAACTCTGTAAGATTGAATATAGTTCTTCCTCTCTAAATTGTTTCAAATGTTAAAACATTGACAAAACTTACTTGAACACAGCGAGGAAGATTGTTGCAAATAACATAGGAAAAATGAGATTTTGTTTTCTCTTCTTGGAAGAAAACAAAAGAAATCCACTAGTGAGTAATATGAACTTAGCAATGCAGAAAGAATGTCACAAACTTTGAGTAATATGAACTTAGCAATGCAGAAAGAATGTCACAAACTTTTCCACAAAGGAAGAGAGAAATCTCAAAACCAGGAAGCCAAGGCAATTTTTATACATGAATCATAGAACTACCCTTGCCAAAGCAAGACTTTGTAGCTTGCAAAACCTGCTTGGGCAACAATGAGAACCACATGAAATCTAAGCCGGGAAGAAGGTAATGAGATTGGTTGCTCATCATCAAATAATCTAATATTATTAGCAGTAGCTATAGGTGGAAGAGGTAATGGAACATATATCTCTTCTAAATCAATAGCAACATTAGAACAAGTACAACTCAAATATATAACCTCAGAGATTTATAAAGGTATAAGAAAAGGAAAGATGGGCAAATAGAGCACATGAATCAGGTGTTAGTATTGATAGCAACATCAAAATAAATACAACTCAAATCATTATATATAATCTCATAGATTGACAAAAGTATAAGAAAAGAAAAGATAGCTAAACACACCATATGAATTAACTATTGGAAACTGTGTTGAGCTCTTTTGTGGGAAACATGATTTAACAAAGAGTATAGAAAAAGTACTTGCCTTTGCTTTAGTTTACTCACAACTTTTGTGAGTTTTAGTTTGGCTTTAGTTTGGGTGTTTTATGCTTGTGATTTTTTAGAGGATATGCAAGACAAGCTTAAATGGGCAAAGTTGAACATGAGGCACGTTCAAAATAAAGAAAAAAAATTGGCTAATGAACATTATCATCATCAAGAGCACAAAATTAGTGACAAAGTTTTCCTTAAACTGTCGGATGCACAATGTTCTTTGAAAGGAGGTGGTAGTGATCAATCAGACATTGAAGAAGGTATAGATATTGTTCAGATTGCAGGAGGTACCAAGATCACACTGATGTTCCAAGTGCTTAATGAGATCTTATAAAATCCAGAAGATAAAACACAGGATTGTCTCCAGGAAAAATGTGTCCTCATAATGTTTCTGCAGCATTTCCTCTGATCAGGTCTCGTTGATCTATGCCAACTTGACACTGGACGACATTCTACTCAAGAACGAGCTCAACAAACTTGCTGAAAACATCCAAACTTCAAGGTCCTGTTTGAGACTATCAGACTTCTTGTGTTTCCAAGGAAAACTGATGCATGTTTACAGGTTTTCTATGTTGCCGATAAGCCAATGCGACCGCCTTCATCACGAAAGACCTGGTGAAGGGACTACCACCTCCTTCAGACGGCAATCTCATCATGGTTTGAAGCTCATTCGCTGCTCGTTACTTAGTTCCCCATTGACACCATTTCCAACAGGTGTGCAGGCCTCCAGCCCTCATGAGCCACATCTCTGGCGATAAAGCACCAGACAAATCACAAGGACAAGTAACCATTTTACAGAGATATCTATTCCAACACGCGAACTTCCCTGATTCCACTCTTCTTTCTCAACAGTTGACAGGTCTCTTGAAGAGCATGGGTTAGACCAAGTGTACAAGTTCTAGGCATTCTTGGACAAGAACAACACAATACAATACAAAGCTCTTTAAAGTCATGAGAGGTCCCCTGAGACGCACTGGCTTATTCCGTGGAGTCATGCCGTGTGCTTATGGAGTCGCAGCGTGATGATCTTTCCCTCCTGAACGAATGAAAAGAAGAGCGTTTGCACAGAAAAGAGTGGAAAGTCTATACTGTAGCACCTGATGCCTTGGGACTGGCCTTCGGAGTTGGGCTTGGAGCGGGGCTGGTCTTTGGAGGAGATGGGCTTGGAGCGGGGGTGGTCTTTGGAGCAGATGGGCTTGGAGCGGGGCTGGTCTTTGGAGATGGGCTTGGTGTTGGGCTTGAACTGGGACTTTCCGTGCATCCTGTTAACAGCAAAACTCTATCAAGTTCATGGTACAAATCGTGGAAGCATGAAAAGTTGGCCAGACAAACCTGGTGGGGATGGTCCTGGCAGAAACATGAAACAAAAATAAAACAGTTAAGCCTGAAAAACCATAGAAAAGAAAGCAACTACCTCTTCCAAATCAAAAAGGGAAGGGATTTACCGTCAACTAGCATTGTAGCTCCCATCACTATGCCAGCCCTGACCAAGGAAAAGGAAGAGATGCACCTTGAAGCATCTTGCCAACTGCTATATTTGATCCTGCCCTCGCCCCTGCCAAGAATAAACAAGGTTAATATGCATCAAATGCCCTGCTCACCACTATCCTATAGCAGTGTCCAGCATTGCCCAAGTATCATGCTGCTGCAATGGGAAACTTAACTTGCTTTTTAGCATTGCCCTAGCACAGAAGTTGGTATGTATATGGCACCTGCTTCAAATTTACGTAAAAAGTTTCAGTACGTGATATTAATCTTGCTGTTAAATTCAAGAGTTTCACCTGGGCATCTCGACGTACCACGGAGCCAACACCTGGAGCAGCAAAACCAAATCAAAGGCTATAGTAGCACAAACTTGAATTTGAACTTTCACCTGCATCGATCTTGTACTGCAACAACAAGAAGCAAAGAAAAGATGTTGGCAAGAGTCCCATAGAACACCATGTCAAATGCATCAAAAGAACCTTGGTTTGCTTGACGAACAACAAACTCAGCAGCTCCATCATCCCCGAGACTGCAAACCACAAGACATGAAATCACGAACGCCACAAAGACGGCCTTCATCTTGTAGAGACACTGGATGGCTGGTTGAGAGGCAATGTAGGAGGTAAATGCGAATGCATATGCAGTGCCCCGAAGCCGGAATTTATTTCGAACCAAGGCTAGCAAACAAAGCCACTGGAATCACAATGTACCGGGCAGAATCTCAGTTTTTGTTATTTATCCAAAGAATTGACAAGGGAGAACGTGAAAGAGAATTGTTTGAGGTGGAGTGTCCCGTCCAAATCTTAGCTGGGTGGGAACAATAGACACAAGTTCTGCCAGGTGTACGAACAAGGTGATATGACCTAAAGCGCATAATAGTTGTCTAGCCTATTTTATAGGATGGCAAAGAAACCGATCGAGAGACTAAATTGCAAGAAATTTGTTAAAGCGAAGTATGTGCTCTGCAGTCGTTTGCCACGAGTCACATCCAACAGAGTTGTCCATGCCACCGCATCTGGAAGAAATGGCATGGACTGGATGAGATTCTCGGCCTCCTCCAGCCGCTTAGCCCGCCCAAGCAGATCAACCATGCACCTGTAGTGATGGGTCGATCCCAAAGTCTGATTGGATCGACAGGAAGTGTTCTCAAGCATCAGTGATCTTCCCCAGGTGGCTGCAACCGCTCAGGATTGCGATAAAAGTGATCTCGTCCAGTGAAATCCCTTCGAGACTCATGGCCTGAAACGCTTTAATCGCATCTTGCATTAGGCATCAAGGCCGTCCACGACCACTAGTCTTTCCATGGCATATTTTCAAACACTTCACAGGCGCAGCTTACATTACCATTTACAGAAAATGCAACCATCATTGTAGTGCATGATGAAAGATTGTGCTCCAGAATTCTGTTAAATATACTCTTCTCTTGCACAAGACACCCATTAAGGGCAACTGAGATTATAGCATTCCAGGACACTATGTTGTGCAAGGGCATTCAATTGAAGGCTTGAGATTGAAATGCTTATCTATTGCCATGTTTACATCCAGTGAAAGGGATGTGATATGGGATAAACTTTTAACTTATAGGAGAATAAGAACTTGATTGATGCTAAGTCTGATTGCATTAGAAAAGGACTTGTATGTTGGTGAGAGTATTATAGTTATGAAATTCTAGCACTTCAGAAGTTGGCCATTCAAGTTCTAAGTCAAGCATGCTCATCATCCTTAGTGGAAAGATTGTTTAGCACTTTCGAGGATATGTCTTCAAAGAAGAAAAATAAACTTACTATGGACAAGACAGAGGTTGTTAATCTGTAATTTGTCATAGATTGTGACTATGACAAATTTGTGAGCTACAATGTACTAGAGATAGTTCCTTATCTAGAAGACAAACTTAAGTTAGGAGAGGAAGAGGAAGAAAAAGAAAAAGATGGAGATGATATCAAAGATTATGAGGTTGAAGATAACAATGATTTGTTTGACAAAGAAAGCTCACTTCTTCCTAGTAAAGACAACAATTAAAACTATTAAACTTGCTTAGTTGTTTGTAAATTAGTTATTTAGTCTATATAGTTTGTTGCGTGGATTTTTGAGTAGTTTATTTATAATAAAAAGTAGCATATTCCTAAAATTAAAAAGAGAATATTCTTAGAATATCCACTAGAATATTCATGAGCTATTGATCATGTTCTATAGTCAGGTTCCTGAAATCTAAAGCTCATGTTTATGTTCTATATTCGTGTTCATAACTATGATATCAATTATAAACACTATTGTGAGCAAAATGGAGCAAAAGCAAATACTTCTCCCATACTTTTTGTCGAGTCAAGTTTCTTATAAAAAACCTTAATACATCTTTTAACAACTGATTCATGCACTTTATCTACAAATCTAAATGTGAATGCTCACCACTACTCATGCTTAACTTAATCTTTAACTTCTCAAATGTCATTGCCAAAACTTAAACATGAACTTAGGATCCCGATCAATCACAATCTACAATCTACAACTACCAAAATAATATTATTTCCTTGAAAAGTCTTGGGCAAACTAGTGGTAAATTATATTGAGATGTTATCCCAATCATTTTCAAGTATATATAGAGGATGATAGAGGCCAACAAACTTATGATGATCAACTTTGACCACTTGCCAAGTCAAACAACCATATACATGGTTTTCAACATCTAACTTTATCCTAGGCAAAACAAAATGCCTATACGTCCTTAGTACCTGTAGATGCCTAGCATTTATCACCTAAAATCTTTTTAATGAGTTTATCAATATGAGGAATCACTAAATGTCCCTTATTTACCAAGATTTCATTTCATATCTTGAATGATATAACCTTATCACCCTTTAAATATATAGAGGTATCCCTCAATAAAACCTTCATATTAATATTAGTGATGAAGAAGTTGAAGTCAATAAACTCTTTAAACTCATCTAAGAGATTGCTAGATAACTTCATAAATGTCATTATCTTGAATAATGCATTAGCCATCTTATTGTCATCACCAAACTTGTACCAGATTTTCACAAACATGTCCTATAGGAACTCTTGCCAACCAGTAAAGTGGTCTTAAATATCCTTTTGATGACTAAAATATTGGAGAGATTGATGGTTTAGATCTACATAGAAGTCTGATCTATATAGATAATATTGCCATTCATTCACAATAGCAATCATAGTAAACAATGCCTTATCTCGAGTAGGCCAATTTTATTGTGTGGCATCAAACTTAGATTATGTATTATCAAAGGTATAGACCAATCAATCATGACTTGGATCTTTGTAAGATCATCTTTTATACCATACACTGAAATCAAATGTCTAAGATATCTAATTTCCTCCAAGAAAAACTCACACTTGGATAACTTTGAGTATAGCTTGTTGTTGCTCAAAAGATGTAAAACACTTCACACATGCATCTCATGTTCTATTGTAGAGTTGAACACTAAGATATTAAAGTAGTCAATCACAAATTTCCCCAAATAAGGTTGTAAAACTTAATTTATCAACCTTTGAAAAGTTGTAGGAGCATTTGTCAGACCAAATGGATTTGATAATACCCTTGCTTCAAATCAATCTTTATAAAATATTGAGCACCATAAAGACAATTGAGCAAATCATCAATATGAAGCATATTCTTTCACCGTTCTATCATTTAATCTTTTAACCATTCTAGTTCATATAGAAAAGCCATGTACTCTTTCTTTTTGACCATCACCACTGAAGCAGTGTAAGGAGACTTGCTTATCCATAACCACCTCTTTTGAAGGTACTCAGAAAGTTGCCTATTGATTTCATGTTCAAAAGGACTAAGAAGAGTCAATTTTTGGTGATAAGGAGTAACTCCAGGAGCTAAGTCAATCTCATGCTAAGTTAGATGGGGCAAACCATTAGGCAATTCATCTGGAAATACATTATGGAACTCCTTTTAAATGCAATTCATACGAGCCCTATGCTTACAAATGTACTCCAAATCAAAGTCTGAGATCGAGTATGAGATCGAGTCCAAGACCGAGTCTGAGATCGAGTCCAAGACCAACTCTGAGACTAAGTTCGAGATAGAGTTTGGGATCGATTCCAAGGCCAACTCCGAGACTGAGTTCGAGACCGAGTTCGAGACAGAGTCCAAGATCCGAGATCGGGTCTGAGACCAAGTCCGAGGTTGAGTCCGAAGTCGAGCCTGAGATCGGGTCCGAGGTTGAGTTCGAGACCGAGTCCGAAGTCGGGTCCAAGATCGAGTCCGAGATCGAGTCCGAGTACTAATACAAGTCGAGCATGTGTCTCCCGGGGGGGGGGGAGGCTCTAGGGGGTTCCAAAAGTATAGTAGGGATAGTGAGATCCAGGAACCAGTCTTGAAGGAACTCTCTAGTGGTGCTTCCAAACTGACTTGAGGTTGAAATTGGGACTCGGGTGGTGCCGGATGGGCCACCCAAGGAAGTGCTTAAGAGCAGCTCGCAC